TTCATATTTGAAACCCGGTCACTGATACTGTTTTTCATCCGTATTAAGCTTATGTGAGAATTACTACGTGGGAAAAAGCAGAAGGCAATACACCATGATTGCCGCAGAAGTGCTGTGAGCTCTGCCTCCTCGCACTTCTGGTCAACGGCATGAAAATGCAAATCAACGCCACACCAATAACTTCATACAAAGGCAGACAACAGGAACCATCTGCCAAATGAATGTATAAGGAACTTTTCCACTGTGAATTAAAATTTTAAACCGATACGTAAGTTAAACAGTTTCCAGATGTGCCGAGAATTTAACTCTTTGAATCAGAATAAAAACCTTTCTTCCACACGTTTTATTCAGACTGCATATGTAGGCATGGTATTTCAAGTTATTAGATTTCGACGAAACACACCAACAAGTTAACTAACTTGATCACAATTTTTATCAATTGATTTTTACTTTCGAGAAACTAACTGGTAACAGCAAACAGTCTGAATGTGTCGCTTGAATCAGTTCACAACTACCTGAAAGCGACGAGGCCAACGACACTGCGAAAACAACGCCACCGCGGATGTTAGTTATCATCGCAAAAATAAAACAAACGTATCTGGGAAAATCGCCTAGATCATTACAGTTATGGAGATGAAGTTTGCGGCTTATTTTATAAACAAGAAATAAAACAAGAATGAATTTAGAAAAAGTATCTAAGAAACGCACCAACGTATGCAGTCGGAATCTAAGAACTGCAATAAACTGACTGACATTCAATATGGTAGGTATTTTTTTATCTCATCGTAGAATGCCAACACCAGGGCTCCACCGGTTCCTCGGAATACGTTACTGAGGGCTCCTTTATACAGTGCCCAGAATCCTTCGCCCTTGATGATCTTCTTCGTGCAGTCCCACGTGTTCTTGTATAGAATTTCCTTCCTACCTGATTGCATCATCATTCGTCGCCTGACCGTATCCCACGGATAGGATGTGATACCGCTGCAAACGGTGACAACCTAAAAAATGAACCGTATATACAGAACGCAGAACTGCAGAACAAAACAACAATATTTTCGAATCTTACTTGAGCGATGGCCCAAGCAATGAAGAAATTCATCTGCTTTGGGTCTTTTGACACCGTTGCCTTAATTGTATCGAAGAATCCGAAATAGGCAGCACGATAAATAATGATTCCCTGCACCGATACGAAGAACCCCCTATGATTGTACCATGAAACTAAGTATCAAAAATAAGAGTGGCGTACCTATACAACCCAATGGGGCCATCGGCTTTGAATATTTTAACCAAGCAATCGGTTAGACCTTTGAATTCTCTGCTCGCTGCGTCCTTACCGACGTCCATGGCCAAACGCGTTCGACCGAAGTCAAGAGGATATACGAAGCACAGACCGGTAGCACCTGCAGCTCCACCGCACGCAAGATTTCCTACGAAAAACACAACCATGATACTAGAAACTCAGAAATACTGCCATAAGAACGTAATTTATCGAGTATAAAATCATATAAAGTCATTTCAACACTGTCCATCGTTTCTGTTTGCGTAGTGATAAACTATGAATATGGAGACAAGAATTAAATTCAACATACAGAATTTATATGAATGGGACTGGAGTAATATTTTAACGCAATTATGACACATTAAATAAAATTAGAAAGAAGTGAAAAAAGTAAAGATCCGAACAGCCACAACTACCTGTACTAATTTTATCATACCGAAAGATATTTATCTGCTTTTAAGATAACCGTTTAGATATTACTTCACAAATATATCGAGAAACCATTGGTCAAACACTGCAAATATTTCAATAATTAGCTGAACTGCACAGAACTTCATTCTGATTTAACCCCTGTTCGCCGATCAGCAGACTCACCGTGCGAATATCATGGCAGAGCGACGTGCACTGATCATTCTTTGGCACTCAACATTTCCGTCCAGCTGCTGATTAGCCTCAAGACACAAATTCTGAAAAACAAACGTCTACACAAATGAGAATCCTTTTAATGTATAAAATCTTAAATTCCATCTTTCATGTAGATAAGAATCCTTATACATTATCTGTCATTAATTCCGCATCTCCCTGCTTGTCAGCAGCGTTATAATTAACCAATTAGTACTTGCCATCTAACTGCACGATATTGCTTCAGGCGTAATGAAAAACTGATCAATTTTCACTAATACAGAATTTTAACGAATGGCAGATCACTGAAGCAAAATATGAAACTTCAAAACAACGAACTGTTCTGTTAAGCGGATATCATCTTCGTGATATCTATTGTATGATCTTGGGAACACTTAAGCAAACACGATGGAACTCAACTTTGATACCATAATCAAAGGAAACGAAACTTAAGAAATTATGTTCAAGTCAAAAGTCAATGCAGTTTTACTTGAAGGATACTAAGCAGAGTATACAGTTATTAAACTGAAACTAACTGAGAATCAGCCTTCAATAATAGTATTAAATCTTGACAATCATTTGCTTTAATTTATATTATTATGAAATTAATTACACCCTTTGCGATTTTAGCATGCGTTTAGTTTTCAAAATTAGCGCCTGAAACAAGCAAGTAGAGCCTATTAATTTAGGACTGAGTTACTTTATTAGCAGGCACCGAAGTGGTTGCTATGAATGTAACGTTTTACATATGCCGCATTTATAACTTATTTAGGCGATCAAGCATTACACAAAGCAGCAAAACGAACCACTTCGCAACCAATCAAAGATACTGTCAAAAATTGTACTTTTTACAAAAACTTCTCCCGTCACAATATTTTCCGATCTTTTAACAAGCCTTATATGGCCCTGGTCATGCAATTTCATGTTCCATGCAATATCTTATTGTGTCATTTAATTTCGTGTACAATAGCCATCTCTCCCCTAGGATTAAATCAAGTGTTTCACATGCTCCATTTCAGAGTTTTATTAATCGCAACTGTTGTTCGTTTTCTTCAATACCGTCTAACATTTAGTTTATGGAAAACCGCATTGGTTGATAGACCTTCCATTTTTTTCTGTAGGGTAATTCTTGTTACGTTTTATACAAGATGAAACCGAAAGAGCAGAACAATGTTTCTTACAGGATATGATCTTCCACCTTTTCTGATGTCACTTACGATGTTCTCTATTCTAATAAGTAGATTATAATCCATATTATTTGGGATCAACATTTAATCAACTGGACGGTTACAAAATTAAATTATGCTGATAATGTTGGAGTCATTAATATGAATCCGGAAGAACTTCAGAAGGCAATGACGGCGATTGAAACAGCCAGCGCCAACCACGGAACATTAACTATCGAAGTGTGAAGTGCTTGTTTCAGAGTATACCCCAAAAATGTCAACAGCATAAAAACTTATGGGAATGATGTGCAGTACGGCACCAAGTTCTGCCATCTGGGTCGATGACGTCTACTGAGGGATGCTGTGAAACTAACGTCCAGAAAAGAATCAGCGCATAATGTTGCAGCAAAATCTGAGGAAAACTGCTGCAAGTGCGTAGGTGAAGGTCCGCGTATATCAGAGTTACTCGACCAGACCAGCAACGACGATCCTTACAAAACAGGAAGCGAATTCCCTGGACGTTTTTAACGCTCGCGTTGACGCAGAATACTCGACCATAGATTGATGACAAGATTATGGAAGTATACCTTCTGGAGGATGACAAAAAGAGTAAAATGTAGATCTCCGGACAGGGAATATATAAACTCTCCCACTGGCGAATATAAGAAAATAGAATTCTCGCTTCGTGGCCACACACTGGGATGGAAGAAAGGCGGCTGACTGATTCGTAGTGTATTGAATTCATCGTGCAACAGAGTGCGAGGAAGGCTGATAACTTTACGGTTGGATAACATCAGAGACCAACTGTTGGATAAGAAAATGGATCGCACCTACCAAAAAACCGAACATGGAACAACGTTTGGCTTGCAATCATATATGATACTGCCCAGAACAAAACACTGTATAAATGATGACAAGAAGCGTACCGATACCATTACGCCCTTGCGATAACCTCTAAGTCAAGTCATTTCAATGAAGTCAATCCATTCACAACTACGCCAACGTTAGGCATCGCAGCAACAGAACATCTGGATAAATTATTTTTTCATAATTCCGAGCTGTGATCCTAAGTCCAACGTAGTTGTCTTTTAGGCTGAACAGCGAACACTCAGAAAAAAATTCATCAGTACTGCTTGCCTGACACTATGTAATTATTAATCAAAACCATCTCTCACCTCTTCGTCTACGACTACTGAATCACTTCATACTTTATAAAAATTACTACTAGTGGATATATCATTCTAGCAACACTTGCTACTGAAATTTTTTCTGAAGATAATAAATCCTCAGGTTAAAGGTTGATTTGAGCCTTCAAATTTGTATTAAGACAGGAAATTTGAAGGAACACCTCAAATGGTGATTGCAGTGGTTCTCTTTACTAGCCAAACTAGTATACAATTCATAAATATAAAAACCTAAAATCTGAATAATCATTTACATACGAACAAAATTATGACTTCAGCTAGATAAGTTATCGAACACTAACAAAATAAGTAGAAAATCATTTCTGAGATTCCATACACTGAGCAATAAGGATAGTTTGCATCGACAAGGAGCACCGTCTGATGATCGGTAACGAGTGGATGCTTCATACAACTCTGAGAATTCACTATCAATGAGACATGAAATTGTTATTCTAACCATTGGATAGATAACGTTTTGATAAACGTCGTCACAAAACAGAGAGAAAACAACGTTTAGAATTCTTTGTCACACTAAAAATCCGTTAGTCGAAAGGTCTACAATGCCCCCGTTCTACCTTACTGCGAAATATCATTGTATTTCTTTATAAGCTGTATTACAACTAATTAAAATTCGAATTCCATAAATCCAGCTGGGCGTCAATGTCATTGTGAAAACCGGATGTGACGAAAAAACCCTATTCGATTAAATTACGAATCAGCATATACCATTGCAGCAACGAAAGAAACTCGAAATCTCGAAACGGAAAGTACCAGATTTTCTTACTGCCTTTAAAGCAAGTTGTTTAAAGGAACATTCGCATGCCACGTAAAACAGCAATATTCATTATTAATACGCGTCTGTAATCGTGCGAACTGAAATTAAGTGCGTTCACAGAATACATCAAAATTCTGTCATGAAAAATCTTGATTTGTTACTGTATATATAGTATAAGTGCAATAGTATATAAAATATATATTCAATAACACATACTTTCTGTCTAGGTTGATAAAAATTACTGCACGGCAGGATACGCGGGAAATTTACCATATAAAATGATATAGCAATTAGTCTATTATGCCATGAAAATCTGCTCCAACCCTACGAGGACAGTTGCTGTGTTAAATTTCAATCTTTGTTCATGCCAGGTAAGACAACTTTCACTGTACTGTTACGAAATTTAAGTTTTCAGTATCAGGCGATCCAATACGTCAATTATATGAAGGCATCAAGTGAGCAAGCGAGAGAATGAAAGCAGCCAGAAGAAAAGACGGTCAGAATCTTGGAAAAAATTACTAATGCATGAAGCTTCTAGAACCCACAACGGCACTCTTTTTCCGCTGTAATTAATAATTTGCGTATTATGTGAGTTACGAAAGCTTAATTTATTAAATATTTTTCCATACTTTTAACTGCCGTGTTCCTGATACATCATTACAAGCGCTTGTTTGCCTTTTGAAGTGAAAAACAATTATCACTGTCCAGGCTCTTTAGGCCAAACATGACGAGTGGGCAATTTCAGACTGTACGTTTCATGTGAACATGACTATTCACTATGAAGAAGGCGTCACAATGAATTCGCTGCTACATGATTAGGAAGGAACTAACAGAGAACATGAAGATCACACCACAGAATCAATGGTCAAGAAGTCAATGCGAAAATGTGAACCGAGGTTACGCATTTTCCCAGACGCAAAACGCAACAAACAAATCATGACAAAACAATAACAGAATTGCACTGCATACAGAAGCTAACTAACCTGCAAAAAATTTCCAAAAATGCTTTTTCTTGTCGATATCACCGATGAAGATGCGTTTGTACGTGTCTTTAAAGGCGAAGTTGAGAGCTTGTGTTGGAAAGTACCGAATCACGTTCACCAAATTGCCTCTCCAAAACGACAGAAACCCTTGCTCACGTGGCACCCTCAGGAAACAGTCGATTATGCCTTTATATCGCTGATCTACTGCAATAGTTTTCTGCGCAT